GGGATTTTGTTACACTTAATTATTGCAAACACAACTAAAACTATAACTGAAACTAATCAAAACTAAACTGAAACTAAGGATTTTCAAAAAAATAAAAACTAAACTAAACTAAACTAGCAAACAATTGGTAAAAACTAATTAAAACTGATATAAAATTTAAAATTGAAGTCAAAACTAAATAAAAATAAAAACTAATGTTAAATTGCAAAACTATTAAAACCCTGGTTATTATTGATAAGTGGATGCACTCTGACATATCTACATAATTCATTTGTTCAATTCTGTTTAACAGCCTGTTTCTCACCTCATGTTTTTGCTCGATGTGTTCTCTTAGGATCATTTATCACTTCAAATATTTTTCAGATAAACCCTTCTGACCGTGCCAACGTGAAATCCTGGACTTTCCTCTGATTTATGGGTGGATTTATGCTTTTCTTTGACTCAGTTTTGGACTGTTTTTAACTTTCTTTTCATAACATGAGAATTCAATACCTGGTGTATTTCCTACTTGTTGTGACTCATTTATAATGGCATATGAACCCTCGCCTTCAAAATAAAGTGCTTTGCTAAAAGGTTTTATTTCAAAGCTGCATAGTTACCATTTCATGTACTGTTCCTGCTTAGCGAGTAGTTGGTGAGTGTTTGCTCATATGAAAATATGAACAACCGCAGCAATTTCCTGCAGAGCAAAGCAATCACAAGTGAAGCACCTTCTTTGCACCTGCCAGCGAACTCCATTAACCAACTGGTCTGTGTATCGGTTTTACTGGACAACAGTCTGTTGGTTGTCATAGTTTTCAACAAGTCTCACACACGTACACGTCTCATGAGTGATCCCACTCCACTATTCTTCAGCAAACCTCTCAAGCTTGATGATGGCCTTCTGACCGACAGATTTTCAGTGAGATTGAAGGCAGGGCTCTGTGGAGGTCAGTCAGAAACGTCCAGTTTGGTCTTCTGGAGTTAAGTCATTTACCAGGAGAAGCAAATGTTTTGGGTCACTGGCGTGTTAGAAGACAGATCAACAACCCACACTTTCAAAATCTTCACATACACTTTTATCTTCGTGGTTCCTTCCAGCTTGACACAATGAAGCATCCTCACGACATCATACTTGTGTCACTGCGCTTCACTGTACTTTGGGTTGCACGCCTCTTCCTTCTTTCTCAAACCATAAGGAGCACCAGGTTAGTCTCATATGACCAGTTTACGCTCTTCCAGCAAGCCTAATGTTTCTCCAGGTTGTCTTTTATTCTTGGTCTTAACCTTACTGGCCATTCCTGTGCTGAGTTCAAGTGACTGTCATCTTTGAGACCACAGTTCCAGACGTGGTTCTGTGTTCTGGGGTCTTTAGGGGCGACCGTGGATGAGGATGTTCATTTTAAAGCGACCGTGGCCAGGGCTCAGGGGGTTGGGAAGCGTATCTGTAACCGGAAGGTCGCCGGTTCGATCCCTGGGCTCTCTGTCCTGGTTGTTGTGTCCTTGGGCAAGACACTT